AGCTGCTGCGAGGGCTGGAGCAGCTCTGCTCTGGAGCCAGGCTGAGAGAGCTGGGCTGGGGCAGCCTGGAGAAGAGAAGGCTCCTGAAGGGGAGACCTGAGAGCAGCTCCAGTGGCTGAAGGGGCTGCAGGAAACCTGGAGAGGGGCTTGGGACAAGGGCAGGGGCTGGAAATGGAGGAGCTTTAAGGTCCCTTCCAACCCAAACCAGGCTGGGATTCTGTGATTATACACAGTGTAAAACTTTAGTCAGTCCATGTGGGGATGCTTCATGTAAGTAAGAGGTGAAGGTTAGAGTTCAACAAGGAGCTGAGGAGGCTCCACAGTGCACACCTTAACAAGCGGAAAGGGGAGAGAAGTCCCAAGTGAACTACCTGCAACCGCTTCAATGTCCTGAGACAGACAGTGTCATTGGAATTGCTCTCAGTATTTAACCATCCTGTCTCCTTGGAACCGTTTCTGGCCATCACTAGGTGGCAACATAGCCGGTGGAGAGAGATCCCATGCAGGACTGAAAGCAGGGAAACCTCAGGCCGATTTCCCTTGGCTGGCTCCATAGGTTAGCCGAGATCTTTTTGCTTCTGTAGGTCCAGATCCCACCTGCAGCCTTCCTGCAACTTCACAGGCCTCTCACTGCGCAATTACAGGAGGACTTTAGGCTGATTATGCATCAAAACTCCCCTCTAGAAAGAAATTCAGTGATCAGAGACATTTTAAGTGTTATGCTGAAATCTGAACAGTCCTGCTGCTCGCTACAAAATGTTGCTACAAGCTGCTGTTGGACTTTACATTTTCATTGGTAGGATGTTTCTCGTTATTTAAACATTAAATCCAAGCATTTCACTTCCATCTCCTCTTTTTTGACTGAAATATGTTATGGAAGTCTTAATTACAGCCTGAGGAGAATGAACATCACAAGTCATTGTGATGGCGAGTGTCAATGGGATGCGGAGAATCCAAACCAAACAACAAATAAATGGCACTTTTGCCCTTCAGATATGTCAAAGCGTGAATGCAAATTCTGCAGTCTTGTATTTTCCTGATCCCCGCTATGCTCTAATCTTATCAAACCCACATTCGGAGTGGGTCGGCTAAAGCAGCTTGCTCTTGACCAGTTGCATTGGATTTTTGCAGAGCGCGCTTCCCTACTAAATCCAATTTCACAGTCTTTTCCTGGTGACAAAATTAGCCCTTCCTTAGGATAGAAAGTACCCTTGGAATGTTTTAACTACTGTGTTTTACATCCCCATGTCTCTCAGGGCTGTTGTGCTGCACAGCATCCCTCTTTAGGCACTATTCTTTACTGGAAGCATGGTCTCACTTCGCATTGCGCTCTTTCTTCACCCTTCCAAGGCAGAGGTACCACTTGCCAGCAATCATCTCCATTCCCAGTCCCTGCCTCGCCGTGGTGCATCCACGCAGTTGGCTTTTGATATTGCTGTTTGTCTGCGAATGGAGGTGCCTCAAGGTTCATAAATCTGTATGCAGTAGTATGGGTTCTCTAACAGCAATTCATTTTAATTATGTGAGACATAAAAAGACCACCTACAGATGAGACAATACAGCTGTAAGATTCTCAAGGTTACTATGGGGAATACTTCATAACTGAAGTATGTTTTCCCAAAGGAATTGCACTACCATTTGATTTAATTTTTAATTTTTACATTTTAATCAAAAATAGATCAAATGGTGGTGTTATCTCCTGAGAAACATACTTCAGATATGAAGCAGTCCATGTTCCTTTTAAATATGTAAAGCTGCCATTTATGTATAACTCATGAATGACACCCTGTGTTGCAAGCAAATATCACGCCGTGATTTCTATATTGTTTCTGTAACAACACTGTAATCATACACAAATATCACCACACCTCATTCTACAGAGCAAACGGCATTAAAGAGTGAGGACTTCAGGAGCCAATGCAATAAATGTCTAGTGCTAACTCAGCCACCGTGTAGTGGACGTGTGCATGGGGATGTTGGTGTCCCAGGGGCTGCTCAGCACCATAGAGGCTGATGTTCAGCTCTCTGAGAGCTTTTGGAAAGCTCAGGTTCAGAAGAACAGGGGTAATGTTCCAGCAAGAACAAAGCACAGGAACTTCAACCTTGGGTGGTTCGATCTGGAGATCTCAACACAGATATTGTTGTGGAACAGCAAACGGGTGTTTTGACTCAGAGTCCCAAACTGCTTTGGGTTGGAGGGCCCTTAAAGCTAATCCAGCTCCAACCCCTGCCATGGCAGGGACCCCTTCCACTGGAGCAGCTTGCTCCAAGCCCCTGTGTCCAACCTGGCCTTGAACACTGCCAGGGATGGGGCAGCCACAGCTTCTCTGGGCACCCTGTGCCAGCGCCTCAGCACCCTCCCAGGGAAGAGCTTCTGCCTAAGAGCTCATCTCAGTCTCCCCTCGGGCAGGTTAAAGCCATTCCCCTTGGCCTGTCCCTGTTGGCAGGGGTTTGGAACTGGATGAGCTTTGAGGTCTTTTCCAACCCAAAGTATTCTATGATTCCATGATTTACCTATCTCAGCGTCTGCAACCCAATCCTGAATGGAGTAACAAAACCAGGCAGTTCCACACTGTAGCCAAAGTGGTGTTTAATGCTTCTGCTTTTATAAGTAACAATTTACAAAATACAAAGTTAAAAATAGAAGAATATATCCTATTAAGCTGAATTAAAGGCAGACCATATGGCTATTTTACTATATACACATAAATAAAATCACTCGGGTAATTTTGTGTACAAATCACAGTATTAGGAAATATAAAGTGTCTTACTTTTATCAATAAAACATAATCCCATAGATATACAAGGCAAAGAAAAGTCATACAAAAATAACTCTGTGGTTCTAGTGCAGACTTGACACAAATCTGCTTTAAAGAAACTCTTCCCCTGTCCCCATGGCATTCACCTGTATCTATTGCTTATGATTCTGACTGACACATCCTGAAGCTAATTACAAACACTATGTCTATTGTAAAACATACACTACCATAAGCCTGCAATGTATTTAACTATTAAGCTGCAATTTGCTTTTGTGCTGGCTGATTTATGCCTGCATTCCTCACCCCACTGGAAAGCATGGAGTGAGGAATGGCATCCTAACTGAAAGATTCACTTCAGAGTTCATCCAGATGCGTAGGAATTCTCATTTGGAAAGAAAATCAGGATAAACCCAGTATTTCTAAATAGCCAAACATGTTCCCAGTTCACTGGAGAGGCCAGTTCATATTTTAGGAGCATGAGGACTTAGGTTCACACGGACTCTACCTGAAATGTTCACCTACCTGGAATACTTAATTTACCAGCAATAGCATTCCCAGGAATCTAACTACGTATCTGTTCACGCTTTGTCAGGGCTTCCAAGTTTTCCTTAGGACTTAACATTCCTCCTGCAACAGGGAGGAATGTAGAACACTAATAAAAACATCTTCCATAGTTACCCTCCTGCTTCAGTTGCAGCTCCCAAAGGTTCTAGGTTTTTTGATAGCACCAGCCAACTCAAGAGGAACAGAGAGAGCTGCTATCTTTGTATAGGAAGAGCATCCCTGCACTGTGTAAATTAAGTGTGAATATAGCCACACACTTGAATTCTAGTCATAAAGGAACTGCTGTTTAACTCTTGAAGGTCGTATTGCTAAGCATTGGTAAGTTTAATGTTCTCTTGATAACAAACATACATCATAGCAACAGATCACAGCAAAGGACAAAAATACTGTTGGAAAATACTGATGTTTTCATCATTCCTGAGATATTTGATGTTTGAGGCTTGGCTGTGAGGCAAGAAAGGATGCCCATAACACAACCTGATATGAAATACTGGCTTTGTATTTGTACCAAGTCTTTCCTTCAATGCTTGCTCTGCTTCTTGGACTCTTCCCTGGGCCTGCCAAAAACTGGTCACTTGACCTACTGAGCTCGGTGTTCCCGTCTTGACCCAGGGCAGTGCTTTTGCAGATTACCCTGGATGCTGAAATGTTTGGGATGCAAAAATTAGAACACTTCTCAGTTCTGAAGGAATAAAAAGATATAGAAGGGTTTTCACAGAAATCTCTCCTAAGGAGGAATCTTCCACTGAGCCAATCTGTTTCAACACCCCTTTTTGGAGCCCATTCTGAACTGGATGAGCTTTAAGCTCCCTTCCAACCCAAACCAGTCTGTGATTCTATGACCCTTCTGCCTAAACCAGAGCACGCACTGAAGTGTCACACTCAAACAGCACAGCTTGCCTATCTTTTGAGTCTAAAAGTCTGATCCTATATAAAATTATATAGTTTATTATATATAATTATATAGCTCTATGCACTGGCAAAACATAGGTGAAATTACCTGTGACAAGCCAACACAAGGATGTTGAATGACAAGTTCAAGGCTTTCTGAACAGATTTGTTCTAATATCACAGTAACTGGAAAGACAGAGTCAGGCAGTGTCAATTGTATCTTAACAGCTTTGTGAGGACTCCACGGAGCTCATCTACTACTCATCCTATAGAAGGTAGTCCAAATAATATTCCTTTTCCTGTTGGATACCTAACTGCCACATTCACCAACTCTGCTTGTTATAAACAAGCTACAAGTACAGTATATAAGATACCTGAACTGGATGTGTAATTTGGATATAAACTTAAATTTCCATAGGATTTTTACTGGCTTTCACAGCTGCAAAGCAGAACAGCCATCTAAGGATGAAGACATTTCTACCTGCACATACAGGGCTGAGCTATGTAATGTATACATGCCTGTATGCATGTAAATGCAAGGACTGTTTTCCAAGCACATCAGGAAAAGTGCCCAAAAGAGACAGGAAAATCTTGGATCATGACCCCTGACCCAGGAGAAAACTGCTCCAAAGGCCAGATCAACCCAACTGATCTAAAACTAAATCAACCTTATTTTCTTATTTAAAAAAGATAGCGACTACCTTAAAAGCAGAAGCATTGCTCAAGTGTAAAAAACAATGATACCCATAACTGTGCACTGAAAGAGCAACGCACACAGGGAAGTGCTGTATGCTGACTGACACACACGTGTCCACGCAAGTCCATGCTTCGAGTGAAGGTACAGATATCCAGCTGCACAGGTTGCCAGGTCTAGCTTCAGAACTCAAACTGAACAGCAGCACTGCCGATCTTCTCTCTTGCCACTTCTAGAAGCTCAGGATATGATTGAAGTGGCCCTGAAATGACAAAGTTTCATGTCGCTAAAAGTTACCTCATCCAAACCTGAAGTCTCTTCCTCCTCGGTGTATGAAGGAACTGATCCTTCCACTAACAACATCACAAATGTTCTCTTTTTGTCCCTGGAGGACCAGTGGACAACTAAAAAGTCTGGATAATAACAGGACTGTGTAGTGTAATCTGTGTCAGGAGCCACAGGAATGCTGTTACTTGGAATGAAGATACCTATACTCAAGCCAGATTTTTTCCCAATAAGTGGTCTCTGATACAGAAGAATTTACAAACTCTATAATGTTGTCACTGTAGTTCTGGAATACAACAAAACCCATGTCCTAATGTGCCAGTTTGGGGGGTAATCCCAAAATGTTCTTTTCTTTTGGGGCTTTTATTATTTAGGCAGCCACAGCTTCTCTGGGCACCCTGTGCCAGCGCCTCAGCACCCTCACAGGGAAGAGCTTCTGCCTAAGAGCTCATCTGTCTCCCCTCTGGCAGGTTAAAGCCATTCCCCTTGGCCTGTCCTACAGGCCCTTGTCAAAAGCCCCTCTCCAGCTTTCTTGTAGACCTCCTTGTTCACTATCATTAGCCATTATCTCTTCAGTGTTTTGGCATCCTCTCCAGGGCTAAAGAGTCATCACTGACAGATGACTGAGCTCACAGTCATCTGTCAGTGGGAGGTTCTAGTGCTGCTGCTGCACCATTACACCAGAGTGCACAGTGCCAAGGGGTGATGAGTTCAAACTAAAACAGGGGCAGTTCAGGTTAGATATAAGGAAGAAGTTCTTTGCTGTAAGGGTAGCTAGGCACTGGCACAAGGTGCTCAAAGAAGTGGTAAATCATAGAATCATAGAATAGTTAGGGTTGGAAAGGACCTTAAGATCATCTAGTTAAAACCCCTCTGCCATGGGCCACGTAAATGCTCCATCCCTGGCAGTGTTCAAGGCCAGGTCTGGTGTGAGGCATCCCTGCCCACAGCAAAGGGTTAGAACTAGATGAGCTTAGGGTTCTTTCCAACCCAAACTATTCCATAGTTCTGTAACTGCAACTACAGCCTAGAGAAATCAAATAAGCAATACAGGTTTTGAAGAGCTTTCTCTGGATGCCAGGAGGAGCCTGTGTGCAGGAGCTCAGGAGCCAGCACTGTGCAGCTGCCCAAATCCATGTGCTGCTCCTCAGAAAGCCAGGTTGTGCCAAGCTCTGACTGCAACTGGTTCTTTTGCTCCCTCATTTAGAACCAGCTCTGGTATGTCTACAGGGTATTACTTTTAGGCTGTGTCTATTTGTTGGAAAGGAAGTATCCAATTAGAGTTAAAAACAGGAGACAGAATGGGATTGCTGACTACTTTATTATGATCCAGAAACTCAAGGAAGATATAAAAAGGAGGGAGAGGAAGTTGGATGTCAGTGTTTGCTTCAGTTACTTCCTAAACTCTGCTTTTTAGAGTGAATCTGAAATATGTCTTCATACTCTCCATATTTTCCAACTGCTGCTGGAAACATATTAGTCTGTGCTCTGCTGGTGTAGCTCTGAAGTGCTAAATCAATCTGTCTTCTTTTATTTACATGCTTTATTCCTGAGCTGTGTAATTGTGGGTTTTATTAACTTTGTGTTTTATGGCTCTAATACTTAAGAACAAGTCTATCTTTTATGTCACAGAAAGAAGGTTAATATACTTACAGATTCTCCAGCAATACATCTTGGGCAAGGCTGAGCAGTACCTCTGCTTCCACGGTTTTCAAAAACCTCATGAACAAAGACACATGCATAACAAGAAGAGGGCAATTACTTGCAATGGTATTATAGAATGTATTTTAAACGTGTTCTTCTACAAACATAAGATGTTGTGGATGGTGTAAACATACCATTGAATTCTGCTTTGCCTTTGTAGCCCAAGGACCACAGTCAGAGGAGATTTTCTGTTTGGAATCCAGCTCCATGGCATAACCAAGCAGATGAGTCTCAGCCTCATTGGGGATGGTTTCTAGCTGCTTGCATGCTCGCTTCTGAAAGAGTCAAAAGCAGTATCATAGAACCATAGAATCATTAGGGTTGGAAAGGACCTTAAGATCATCAAGTTCCAACCCCCCTGCCATGGGCAGGGACATCTCACACTAAACCATCTCACCCAAGGCCTCGTCCAACCTGGTCTTGAACACTGCCAGTATGGACATGTCTTTGCAAGGAACAGGCCACTGAACCCAGGTTTTTGGGATTATTATTACTATTATTTATTGTTTATGACCAATAAGGCTCTTGCATTTACTTGGTAGAACCCTAAGTTAGTAACAGACCACCAGACACTAGGCCAGAAGTCCGCATCTTGCATTTAACGCCACACCTCGTGCTGATGTGGTGATCTCTGAGCAGGTCTCACTAAACATCTCTGTGCCTCACATTTAGAAACTGGAGATAAAATGCCACTGGGAAAAGAACATCATGTAGCATTAGTGTGGAACGTGGGAATGTGTTTATCAAAGGAGAGGAGCAGGGGAAGTCGTGCAAAATGACTAATTAAATCAAGGAAACGGAAGGAAAACCCTGGAGCTAAGTCAGACAGTTATGAAGAGATATGCTGTAATGATTTTTGTATCTTTCTCTGACTGTCACATTTTTACAGCTTTCCATTGCTATGTAATCCATTAATTATCACAGAATCCCAGAGTGGTTTAATTGGGACCTTGAAGCTCATTCAGTTCCAACCACTGCCATGGGCAGGGACACCTTCCACTAGAGCAGCTTGCTCTAAGCCCCATCCAACCTGGCCTTGAACACTGCCAGGGATGGGACATCCCTTCATGCTCTTGAAGCTCTAAGATGAGCTGTTATCTAGTACTGAATGACATCTGGATGTCCCATGAACCAAAAGCATCCTTCTCTGGAGGAAGGGCTGCCCTAAGCTGTCCTTCCCCATGTGCACAGCGACCCAGCACGAGCTTGGAAGTCCCAAGAAATGCTGCTTTACTGCTCTGTGAGAACTTAACTAAGGTTAAGATGCAATGGGAATGGCTTTAACCTCCAGAGGGGAAACTGAGCTGAGCTCTTAGGCAGAAGCTCTTCCCTGTGAGGGTGCTGAGGCGCTGGCACAGGGTGCCCAGAGAAGCTGTGGCTGCCCCATCCCTGGCAGTGTTCAAGGCCAGGTTGGACACAGGGGCTTGGAGCAAGCTGCTCTAGGGGAAGGGGTCCCTGCCTGTGGCAGGGGTTGGGGCTGGAGGAGCTTTAAGGCCCTTTCCAACACAAACCAGGCTGGGATGCTATGAAGTCTGAGGAAGACACCAACTGGAAACCCTAAGAAGGATATCCTTGGCCTGTGCCTGATATCCCATGCAAGGGGGAGGAACTACGTAAATCCCAGGGGCTCCTTGAAATTCTAACAGCAAATTAACAGGAAATTTCAACACTGACACAGACATTGCAGGGTCCAACTCTGAATTCCAGATACACCCACCTTTGAAATACTTTTCTGATGCCTTTCTGAACAAACTTTGTTTAAGGAATAACAATATTCCATCTCTTTCACAAGCATCTAATTTCACAGGCACAAGATATGTTGTCACAGAACTAACAGACTACTGAAGCATGGCAACTACATTTCAAATCTGAATATGTTATGCAAAACAAAAGTGGATCAATACAATGGGAACCTCAGCGGAAAACAGTTGAAACAAGAACACTACCAAGTGTTTGGATGGGAAATAAATCAAAAAGTGAAATATGTATTGTAGTAAGAAAGTGAATAATACAACAACGGAAAGTCTGAGAAGGTCCTCTAAAGATGGAGCAGCTTCCACTGGGAAAACATTCCTTTCTTGCTGAAGAACTCGTCCTTTATTAAAAGGTACAGCAGAGAAGTACAGCAGCATAACTAGGAAGATGTGTGAGATGAAGGAGAAAAGGGAAAGAAGTGACTTACTGCCATCCATTAGAAGAAATCTGGCTTATTAAAAATGAATTCAAGGTATTGTCTTTTGGGGGGGTTAAGATACTTGGCATGGAATTCAGCATACAGAATAGATGGTGCCACACTTGTCATGCCAATGCTGAGACAGTTGTGTGCATGTTTCTATCAGGAAGCTGGCTTCAAGGAAGACTTCACTCCCTTGAATCCCTTCTTTTAGGAGACAAACAATCAATACATTGAGCACTGCCAGGGATGGGGCAGCCACAGCTTCTCTGGGCACCCTGTGCCAGCGCCTCAGCACCCTCACAGGGAAGAGCTTCTGCCTAAGAGCTCATCTCAGTCTCCCCTCTGGCAGGTTAAAGCCATTCCCCTTGGACTGTCCCTACAGGCCCTTGTCCAAAGCCCCTCTCCAGGTTTCTTGTAGCCCTTTTAAGGCACTGGGAGCTGCTCTAAGGTCTCCCCTTAAGGAGCCTTCTCTTCTCCCATGCATGAATGGTCGTTCTACATCCAGCTTGGAAATGCAGTTTAAGACAAGTAACAGCAAATTATGTACTGCCCTAGAACAGGTAGAAAATGGGTCCTTCTGCCAAAAGGATATGCTGTAACTTTCTTTTCCAGCTGGGAAGTCCTGCAAAAACACATGTATTTTCATAGAATAAATCACAGAATCATAGAACGATTTGGGTTGGAAGGAACCTTAAAGCTCACCCAATTCCAACTCCCCTGTTACAGGCAGGGACACCTTCTACTATACCAGGTTGCTGAGGCCACGGATTTTCACTGATGCCAAAAGGATAAAGGCCTCACAGATGATGCTCTTCAGAGAAAGGCAAACTAAACTGCTGCAAAAACTAGCTGCATTGAAATAACTAATCTGAATGCAATGGGAAGTACTTTTAAGGACTATCACTTGCTTTCTTTGATTTAGCTGTAAGATTTGAAAGTTCTATAAATTCAGCATGTTCATCACATGCAATTTCTGGTTTGTTTAGCATATTCTTAGAAGCTAGGCTTGCTGCTGATCTGTGTTCCATAAGCAGCTGCCCTGTAGGCATAAACCAGGTCTCGTGCAGCACGGCTTTACTTGGTTTAGCTCTACTGGGTACCTTTATGGAAAGGCCAACAATGGCTATGTGTGGATGCTCCCTGTTGTAGCATCCAGCTCCCTATGAAAGAAGTGCAGATGGAATGTGAGTTTGGGTGAGCAGAAGGAATGTGAGGTCAGTGCAGGTCCCTATTCTGGGAAGCTTTGCTTCCATTCAAATCCAAACCAGAACATGCCACACAGATAGCTCTAGCCTTGAAAGTTACTACTTGTTATTTACCAGCCTCTAAATCCAAACGCCTTAAAAGCAGTAGGACATCAATGAGCTCTATCCTACGGCAAGATTCAGAAATACGTGCAAATAACTACATCAAGGTACAAAAGGCAAAAGGAAACCATATGTACAGATCTACAACGTGCAGCAGGAGCTGAGGGAGAGCAGAAAAACCCGTGGGGAATCTTCCCCAGTTACAACAGCTACTAGCACAGACATTGCATGACAATGGCAACCAATAAAAGGAGGATTAGGATGTGGTTGTCTCCCCAAATCCAGGGCTCAGCCTGGCCCCGCTTGCTTCCTTCAGCAGAGCTCTCTCTGCAAAGCCCAGCTACAGCATTCGTAAGGAGTGCAAGCCCCAGTCCCAGCACCTTCAAACCAAACAGAGCAGATGTCCAAGGAGAAGGGCAGCAGATCTTCTAGCATTAGACCTAAAACGTGCAGGCCTCCGTGAGAGCTGTATGAGATACAAAGTGCAGCACCTTGCCTGTGTTGTGCTCGGGCTCATGCTGTTAGCTAAAATCAGACACAGCTGCCAGTTATTTAGCTAAGAAATCCCTACACCACAGTGAGGAGGTACTCCGAGGTGGAGACAGTGAGAAGGGTTAAGTGCAGATGTTTCACCTTGTGTCTGTGACAGAGCCAGGACTGCAGCAGCTCAAGTAAATGCATTAAGCTGTGATGACGCAGTTGTAATCCAGACCGTAACAACTGCCCTATAGGATAAAACAAGCTCTAACGTCTTGTCCAGGCTACTCTACACAGTAAATGTACTCTAATGAATGTTCTCTTTTAAAACTACCTTACAGAGCTTGACATATGTTTTCTGCTACCTACAGAGGTGGAGACAGCGATTCAGAGTCTCTGTCATAGAAGTTCCAGAAGAATTTCATCTGGTCTCCAGACAACTGGCCTGTGAGTGACTTTTTTAGGGGTAAAGCTGCAATTCATGAACTGGAAGAACGTTCTTATTCACCTCTCCAACCTCAAAAACCAGGAAAAGAGAGATTCCTTCTTTCCTATGTTACCTTATCAGTCACAGTCCAAGTTCACTGCTCCTCCTCTCCTCTACAAATGGTGTTTCTCTGGGGAGATGTCAGCCCCAAACTGCACAAGTTTTTGCTCATGTCACACACAAACAGGGATGCTCAAGTAACAGAAGGGGAGAGTGTGAACACCAGGATAAGGCTTTCTGGGAACTCGACACCTTTCCAAAGTTAGCAGCTTGGCACTTACTAGGACGGAAGATGCTTACAAGCTGCTGGAGGAGAAACACCTTGTTGGAATGAATCCCATTGGAGAAACACACATGAGCTTAGCTGAAATGGAAAAATTATTCCAGAAGCCCAAAGTATGAATGCTCCACAGAGCAGTGCTGGGAAGCACCTCTTGGAGCCAGGACAGCAGGAGAGTGTGCGTCTGCAAACCAGAACCGCCCCCCGCTGCACCCACACAGCGTGAGCTGTGCTCAGGGAGGGGATCCTGCCCCTCTGCTGCGCTCTGGGGAGACCCCCCCCCCCCCTGCAGCCCTGATCCAGCTCTGGGGCAGCAGCACAAGAGGGACGTGGAGCTGTTGGAGAGAGGCCAGAGGAGGCCATGGAGATGCTGCAAGGGCTGGAGCAGCTCTGCTCTGGAGCCAGGCTGAGAGAGCTGGGCTGGGGCAGCCTGGAGAAGAGAAGGCTCCTGAAGGGGAGACCTGAGAGCAGCTCCAGTGGCTGAAGGGGCTGCAGGAAAGCTGGAGAGGGGCTTGGGACAAGGGATGTAGGGACAGGCCAAGGGGAATGGCTTTAACCTGCCTGAGGGGAGACTGAGATGAGCTCTTAGGCAGAAGCTCTTCCCTGTGAGGGTGCTGAGGCGCTGGCACAGGGTGCCCAGAGAAGCTGTGGCTGCCCCATCCCTGGCAGTGTTCAAGGCCAGGTTGGACACAGGGGCTTGGAGCAAGCTGCTCTAGTGGAAGGGGTCCCTGCCCGTGGCAGGGGTTGGAGCTGGAGGAGCTTTAAGGTCCCTCCCAACACAAACCAGGCTGGGATTCGATGCAGTAGCATTTATGATGCCCCCACGTGCAAAAGTGTACCAGCAATAGTAACAGCAGCGATAATAAATGATCGTTCAGTGGAATTCCTCTCAAAACTCCCCGAGCACACGTGCACGCTCCCGGTCTCCCTGCGGACCACAGCCCGATGCACTCCCACAGCGGCACCAGTCCCGCCGGGGACGCATTTACAGCGGGTGTGGGGAGCAAGGGCCGCCGTCCCCGCCGCCTTCCGCTCCGCTCCGCTCCCCAGCACCGGCCCGGCCCGGCCCGGCCCCGCTCCGCCGCGGCGCCGCTCCGGGCCAGCGGCCTCCCCGCCAGGCCGGCGCTGAGCGCGGGACCCACCGGGCCCGGTGAGGGGGCGCGGGCTGCGCCCCGGGACCCGCCGCGGCCCCGCCGGAGAGGCCGCTCCCGCCGCCGAGTTTGCGACGGGCTCCGCGGGCCCGGCCCGACCCCACCGCCCCCTCCCGGTGTGCACACGATCGGAACTCACACGCTCCGGCTCCCCCGGGTCCGGGTCCGGTGTGCGCAGCGCCCCGATCCGCCGGTCCCCCCGGGCGGGCAGCGGCAGCGCAGCCATGTCTGCGGGGCGGGGCGGGGCGGGGCGGGACGGGACGGGACAGCGGCCTCCAGGGCCCCACAGCCCCGCCACCGCCCCGGGCAGGGCCGCCCCAGCGGGGCGGAGCGAGGCCGGGCCTGGGCCAGCCGCAGCCGGTGACATGGGGCAGGCAGTACGGTGGCCGCTTTGCGTTCACCGGGCAGCGAGGAACCGCCACCGGCTTCCTCCGGACCGGAGCCCCAGGGAGGGGAGGGACGAGCTGAGGTCACCGGGAGCGCTGGTGATGGTGGTTCAGCACGACCAGTTCTGTCAATTCGCGGTTTATTATAACTGAGCGTTCCTTAACTCGGCAGTGAAAGATGAGAGGGGAGATTGAGATGAGACCACCGGAGCAGCTTGCTCCAAGCCCCTGTGTCCAACCTGGCCTTGAACACTGCCAGGGATGGGGCAGCCACAGCTTCTCTGGGCACCCTGTGCCAGCGCCTCAGCACCCTCACAGGGAAGAGCTTCTGCCTAAGAGCTCATCTCAGTCTCCCCTCGGGCAGGTTAAAGCCATTCCCCTTGGCCTGTCCCTACATCCCTTGTCCCAAGCCCCTCTCCATCTTTCCTGCAGCCCCTTCAGGCACTGGAGCTGCTCTCAGGTCTCCCCTTCAGGAGCCTTCTCTTCTCCAGACTGACCCAGCCCAGCTCTCTCAGCCTGGCTCCAGAGCAGAGCTGCTCCAGCCCTCGCAGCAGCTCCATGGCCTGCTCTGGACTCCCTCGTCGTCCCTCTTGTGTTTGAGGACCCAGAGTCCTTTGCTATACTTCTGCTGGGTCTTGAGGCCAGCACAGGACGATATCCTCCTGCAGGAGGGTGTAATGCACTGCTTGTCTTTTTTGCTCTGCTAAATCAAGCTGTTTTGCAGGAGAGAACACGTATTATCAAGCTATCCCTGGCATTCATTCTGTCTGGAGCTTATTCTTCACTAGGGATCCAGTTGTATTTACTGTATGTGCTCTGTCACAGCCTTTGAGCCTGAGGCCGTATCACAATAAAATAATCCACAGATTCCTCTTTTAATTTAGCATTTGACATGCCTGATGGAAAACCAGCCCCAAACCTGGGTAATCCAGTTTGCAGAACACGTGAAGCATAAGTCGTTCCAGAGGTTGAACAAAACCCAAATCCATTCACATCAAATCAGATTTATTTCATTATTTCAAAGCCACCTTCCAGTTCCACCCCCAGAGCCCAGTTACGTGCCTTGCCAGTACAGCGAGCACTGTGGACTGCCTTACCCTTCATATTCACACGCTTAGAACAACAGGATACACTATAAAAAGCATGGGTTTTGTGCCCCACCCATCTCAATGTGTCAGCAGATGGCAGGGGATCCTCTTCTGCAGGTGCCAGTCTCATCTGCTGTGTGAACCATGGTGGGAAGTGGTACCTGTGCGAACAGAGCATCACTGCCCTCCAGCCATGGATCTCCTTGGAAGGAGAAAAAGCTTCACTTTGCTAAGAGGAGGATGAAGAATATGAGAGGTCCCTTCAGAACTGCAAAGAGCGGCCATGCAGATCCAAAAGGGTGATTTGGGGATGTGATTCATTCCTTCCGCTGGGAAGGCCTGAAGGAAAACCACAAGTCACCAGATCTGAAGAGTTCAGTAGCAAAGGCAGAGGATGTACAATTTACAAACCTCTTCAAGACATCTTGTGAACTAAGAACGTGATGTTTTCAGTTAGGGATGCACTTTGGCTCCTGCAAGTGAGACCTGACCAAAACGCCCTCCAGCAAAAGCATGGAGATTTACTCTGGTTGTCAGTGGTAGCTTGTTGCCATCCACACGTATCCACATTTGCACTTGCTAGATTCATAGTCCTTTGCCTCTTGGGACTTGAATGACTTTTATCTGGAATAGTTTGACGTTTGTTTTTTTTTTTTTTTTCAGAGAAATTACTTTTTACCACCCCAAAATTCCATTCTTGGATTTGCTGTTCTTGTCTCCTGAGAAACTCACAAGTCTTCTCCTTCTTTTTCTCCATTTGCTCAGTTATTTCCCTTTATTCCATTAAGCTAATTTGCTAACTGTTTCTTCGTGCTGTCTCTGCTGTTAGCTCCATCATTTTGTGGAGTACCATGTAATGTAACTGGAGGATAATTTCATGGAATCATTTCACAGAATCAACCAGGTTGGAAAAGACCTTCAAGATCATCAAGTCCAACCTTAACCCCACCACTAACCCATGGCACTGAGGCCTCGTCTCCACGGTGTGTGAACACTTGCAGGGATGGTGACTGCAGCCCTGCCCTGGGCAGCCTGTTCCAATGCCTGAGCACCCTCTGGGGCAGGAATTGTTCCTCAGCTCCATCTAAACCTGCCCTGGGGCAGCTTGAGGCCGTTTCCTCTTGTCCCATCCCTTGTTCCTTGGGAGCAGAACCCAGCTCCCTCCTGGCTCCATCCTCCTGCCAGGCAGTTGTAGGGAGTGATAACGTCCACCCTGAGCCTTCTCTTCTTCAGAAGAGGATTTGGATTGGAAGGGACCCCTTGAGAGGATCATGTTTGCCCTCAGTAAATAGATTTGGTCACAAACCTGTCACACCTTCCAACCTGTTTCCTCGCACACCTCAGCAGAGTGCTGCTGGAGAAAGGCTCTGGGAACTCTGTGGTTACAGAAGTGTTTAGTTCTTTTTTATCTCCTTGGTCCAAAGCTGACTGATACCTCCAGGTCTTCAACCGGGACCTTAATTTGACCGTTTTCCTAGAGGAAAATGTCAGTATTTCCATGTTTGCTGTATCAGATTTCCTGTTAAACTCCCCCTCATTTTGTTTAATTCTGTGTATACAACTCTTACTGACATTTAATCAAGAAAACTTCTGACCTCTCATAGCCTTTTCCCACTGCTATTCCACTAAGACCTGACAAGTCTTGAAGTGAATTCCTGTCTTCTTGTGGAATATTTGCTCTTTGTTTGGCCATGTTCATACCAAACCATCTCTTCAACTGCCAAACCTATACACTCTAACAGGTCAAAGAGGTTTTAATTTCACCTCATGTCTTGCATCCAGAAGGATGCACATCCACAATATAATGTTGGACCACAGTTCTGCTTATTGCATAAGGTGTCTCCAGAGCTCTCCTGTGTTTTCTTACCCATGTCAGTGCCCTCTTACTGGCTTTTGCTCTCTCATTACTGTGAGTTTTTTGTTCTCATCTGAATCTGTCACTTTCACTCTTTATAACCTTATGATACATTCTTATTATGAAGAAGCTCTTCCCTGTGAGGGTGCTGAGGCGCTGGCACAGGGTGCCCAGAGAAGCTGTGGCTGCCCCATCCCTGGCAGTGTTCAAGGTCAGGCTGGACACAGGGGCTTGGAGCAAGATGCTCTAGTGGAAAGTGTCCCTGCCCGTGGCAGGGGTTGGAGCTGGAGGAGCTTTAAGGTCCCTTCCAACACAAACCAGGCTGGGATTCTGGGATTCTGTGTTTAGGGCTTTCCAAACCCTCTAGAAGAAAGTAGGACATTAACGAATCCTATGAACCAACAAGGATGGTGTGAATAGGACACATGTATGGAATCTCATCTTGGCTTCAGTGAAAGGAGGCTGTCAACTCTGGATACCTCTTGCTACATGGCAAACAGTTCTGCCTTGATTTACCATGATTTGTTAAGGAGGGAGAGAACTTCTATGTTAATTATGCCATCAGTGGTAACAGTCAAGGCCCCTGGGGAAAAATATCCTCAAAAATAATTTTATGAATCAAAGAAATCTGTTTTAATATAAATTTTAATTTGACTTTGAATGCAGCCAATTCCTTCAAACAGAGGAGTCAATCTTCATTGGCAGTCTAGTAAATCTCTGTGATTGAGATTCAGGCTGGTTTTGCAAGAATCATCAACCCCCTGCAATTCTTCATCACTTTTTGTAGAAATGAGACATGAAGTTAATACCGAATAAAAGTCTTTTGTAACAAAGGATGGACTCAATTCTCCAACGTGTACCTGATGGTGTGTCAGAATAAAGAAATGCTGTGATCAGATAAAACAAGAAAAGGTGTTACTTAGGTGTATTCATAGAATCACAGAATCGTAGAATAGTTAGGGTTGGAAAGGACCTTAAGATCATCCAGTTCCAATCCCCCTGCCATGGGCAGGGACACCTCACACTAAACCATGGCACCCAAGGCTCTGTCCAACCTGGCCTTAAACACTGCCAGGGATGGAGCATTCACAGCTTCCCTGGGCAACCCATTCCAGTGCCTCAGCACCCTCACAGGAAAGAATTTCCTCCTTATATCCAATCTAAACTTCCCCTGTTTAAGTTTGAACCCATTACCCCTTGTCCTGTCACTACAGTCCCTAATGAAGAGTCCCTCCCCAGCATCCCTATAGGCCCCCTTCAGATACTGGAAGGCTGCTCTGAGGTCTCCCCACAACCTTCTCCAGGCTGAACAGCCCCAACTTCCTCAGCCTGTCTTCATACAGGAGATATTCCAAAGACATGAGGGTATTCCAAAGATATTAGGGTTTTTTTTTATGCTGTAATAAATATTTCTGTATCAAGTAAATATATTTCTATGTATATATATCCCGATCACTTAGCAACTTCAAACTGGAATGGCATAGTCTCTCTCCTTTTCCATCACTGTCTAACGCTCAGGAAAATAGTATTAAGTCCTACTAACTTTTCTTCCACACATAAAGCTGTGAGTTCAGGGACTGGTGGATGAGAATGATGTTAAAACACATCAATATTTTACAGGGAATTCCCAGCTTGAATACAACAGAGTAAAACCTGTGTCTGCGAGGAGCACGCATATCAGTGCAACACGGTAATGAACAAATGTAAGGCCATGACACAGTCCTCTTGTGAACCAACTCACTCTGGCAGGGCTGGAAACCCCCCGTGGTGCTCAGGAGTGATCACCCATGCTGCTGCCTTGTGCTCTGCCTTCAGCTTTGCTCTCTTGCAGTTCGGGTATCGCCTCTGTTGTCAAGTTCTTTGCAACCCGAGGTGAGCAGTAGATCAACTGGGCACTATGGGAGCCTTGC